CAACAGACACATGAAAAAGTGCTTAGCCTCACTCATCATCAGAGAAATGCAAATCAAAACATTGAGATACCACCTAACCCCAGTAAGAATGCCCATCATTAATAAAACAAACAACAGATGTGAGGATGTGGAGAAAAAGGAACGCTTCTACACTACTTGTGGGAATGCAAACTAGTGCAGACTCTTTGGAAGACAGTGTGGTGATTTCTGAAAGAACTAGAAATTGACCCTCCATATGACCCAGCAATCCCTCTGTTGGGAATATACCCAGAGGAACTCAAATCATTCTACAAAAAGAACCTGCACACGTATGTTTGTTGCAGTTCTATTCACAATAGCAAAAACATGGAACAACCATGCTTCCCATCGAAGCTAGACTGGATTTTTTAAAAAATGTGGTCCATATGCACAATGGAATATTATGCAGCCATAAAGAAGGACAAACATATGGACTTCACAGCAACTTGGATGGATTTAGAGTTGATCATACTAAGTAAGTGATCTATCACAGAAACAAAGACCAGAATACTATATGTTCTCACTCATAAGCAGAGTACCATATGTTCTCACTCATAAGCGGACCTTGAACAATTATCATAATACTATAAGAAAGGGATTGGCAGTAGTGGGAAACTGTCAGGGGGGTGGGTAGGATTGGCGGTTGAGGGAAACTGCCAGGGGAGGGAGGGGCACACCTGCATAATCCACGTTTGCATACCTAACCCTGAATTGTACCCTACATCTTTAAAATATAATTAATTAATTAATTAATAAACAGGCATACAGAATGTGTACAGAGAATCACCATTTAAAAAAATTTGAAGAAGAAAAAATAATAATTGATAAATTGTTATAAAATCCAATGGTTGAATTATAAATCACATTACCTATCCCTAAAGAGAAAATTAGTGAACTAAATGAGAAACCTAAATGTGGACAAGATTAGGGGATGGAAAAAAGATGAATCTAAATAAATTATTTAAAATTTACTCCACAGTGGAAAAATGATTTTAAAAATGAAAGAGGACAAGAGTCGTGAAGACTAGAATGAAAAGACTTAAAATAGCAAAATAACAATCAAATCAGAATCCCATAAAAGAACACTAGAAGAGATGGGAAAGAGGAAATACATAGATAAAACATATAATATCTGAGAATTTTTCAAAATTATTGAGAGAGATAAATGTGCAGATCTAGGAAGTCTAAAGCTCTTAAGTAGGATAAATGAAATCCACAACTAACTGTAGAAACTGAAGAACATAACAGAATAAGGCCTTAAAAGCAGATAAAGGGAGACAAGTCACCCACGAAGAAACAACAGAGTCCTGACCGCTGAGTTCTCAGCAGGAGTTTGTACCTAGAATACAATTCTGCTGAAAGATATTCGACATCTACTCAGAATGTTATGCCACATAAAAATGCCTTTTAAGAATGAAGGAAGCCGGGCTCGGTGGCTCAGCCTGTAATCCCGTGCCTTTGGG